CTTCTCTTTTCCTTTCAAATCAACTTAAAAGGGTTGTGCTTTTTGGTGTTAGATCATTTGTCATTGTATAAATTAGTGGAATATATATTTTCAAGTGGCGGTTTTTGAGAACCCCTTTTGGAGGAATAATAAAGTTCTTATTTTTCTTGAAGCTTTTGAACATATATATCAGTATGGCTCAAGATGAAGCATGATATCAGCTAATTCCATTAAAAAAAAAAAAGCTGTGAGAGACCTTATTTGCAATGATTTTTGGTGATGATTTGTGTGCATGGGCACGGTGAACAACACAAATCTACCATCAAGAGAGAGAGAAAGAGGGAATCAAACACACATCCCGAGAGTGGGAAGAAGACAAAGAGATGAAAGAATGGCAGAAGAAAACAAAGGAAGTTGGAGAAAATGGTCGTTCTCGTGAAGTGGACGTTAAGGGGGGGACGAGTTTTTCTTTATGAACACAAATGAAAGCCAAGAAAATGAATTTAATATTGAAGTGGTATCAAAGTTGTGAAAACTACAGCTCTGTGTGTGTCTGTGGGAGCTCTCATGTGAACCCACTGTCACCCACGCCGCTACCCCTCTCTCATTCACACCTTCTTACCTATAGCTGTAGCTATTGCTTCCAAGTTTTGATCTTCTTTTTTCTCCCTCTGGATATCCGTTCCTTAATGTTTGGCTATGCTTTTGTACTTAGCTTCTCTATGTTCCAAACCAAAACAAAACAAATGAAACTATCTTGTGTGATCAAACGCTTGATGCATCTCTACTCCATTATCTTCAATTTCTTGGAGTATCCAACTTCATATCTTTTGGAAGCTTGCAATCATTTACTCCTCTCTAAACTTTGATTTCTTGTCTTCTCTCTAACGCTTAAAATTCGTAGTGTGAGAGTGTGAGAAATACATTTGTAAGTTACCGTGGTTGGTTACTACCTGTGAATGTAGGTGGATTTTTTCTCTTTGAATGTAAGAGTCCAAGTTCACCGTTGGTGGATATTATCCACTTTGACCCGTTACGTATCGTCGTTGGTTTCACAGTTTTCACACCCTTATAAGGAATGCTTCGTTCCCCTCTCCAATCGATATGGGATTCTCACAATCTAGCCATCCCCCTTGGGGGCCAACGTCTTTGTTGGCATATTACCCCGTGTTTGACTTGATATCATTTGTGATACCCCAAAGCCCATCGATAATAGATATTGTCCGCTTTGGCCTGTTACACATCGCCGCTAGTCTCACGTTTTTAAAATGCGTCTATATGGAGAGATTTCCACACCCTTGTAAGGAATGTTTCGTTCTCCTCTCCAAGGGTAAGGAATATTTCGTTCTCCTCTTCAACCGATGTAGAATCTCACAATCCACCCCCTTTGGGGGCCAGCGTCTTCGCTGGCACACTGCCCAGTGTCTGGCTTCGATACCATTTGTAATAGCTCAAACTCACTGCTAGCAGATATTGTCTGTTTTGGCTTGTTATGTATTGCCACCAACCTCACGATTATAAAACGTGTCTATTAGGAGGAGAAGTTTCCACACCCTTATAAGGAATGCTTCGTTCTCATTTCCAACCGATAAGAGATTTCACAATCCACCTCTCTTGGGGGCCAGCGTCGTCACTGGCACACCTCCAATGTTACGACCCAGATCCACCGCTAGTAGATATTGTCTTTTTTGGGGTTTTCCTTTCGGGCTTCTCCTCGAGATTTTAAAACGCGTCTACTAGGAGAAGGTTTCCACACTCTTATAGATGGTGGTTCGTTCTCCTCTCCAACCAATATGGGACATCACATCCAGTGTTTGGTTCTGATACTATATGTAACAATCGAAACTCACCGCTAATAGATATTATCTGCTTTGATTCACTCTGAAGAAGAAAAGAAAATTATTGGAGATGATGAGGTGGGGTTACAGGAGAGATGAGGGAAGATGTTTGGATGTAATTATTAGCAATTGATAAAAGAGTTGAATGAAATTAAAAAGTGACATATTGAATTTAAATAACCCGACAACCTCTGCATTCCCTTCTGGTCTGGGCATCCATGCTCTCTGCTGTATGAATATTCCAGTGTTCCACGCACCAGATTAGCTTCATACACCCTTCTTCTAGTTTGAGGCCCAATAACATCCTCTCAAGCTCCATGGACTTCAACCTAAATGACACCATTCAAATTGGGCCTATCATGTCACTTCCCCCTCTTACCCGTCTATTTCTAGAGATGTTTATTTATCTCGTAAGTCTCGTGGGAACTCACTCAACTTACCTCGTTACAGCTGTGACAGAGATATCATATTCGAAGTCAAATCAAATCTACTCATAAATAATGCAACCAAATTAAGTAGGGATATTTCAATTATGATCTAAAGAATCATCACATTAGTTTATACGGTAACATAAAAATAAGGTCTATGTTCTAGAGCTTTATTGGATCATAAATACGAAACTCTAACATTTTGAACCCATAATATATGCATACTCCAAAGTTGAGGATCATCGGTAGTCGATTCAATAAGCTTCAAACTTTTGAACTTTCTAAACGTGAAACTAGCCAAAGGGAATGGAGAAAGAAAAACTATGGGAAGAATTGAGAGACCAAATGCTATGATATCAGAGTATCGGGCATAGGTTATGTAGACATTTAGTGTATAGAGAGTCTAGTATCTCTGTGGGTCAAGCTACCGACACGCCCCACTGCGACTAGGTAAGTTCACTAATCTTTGAGGAAAATTTGACTTGAATGATTTTTGGATTTTTGTTGAGAGTTCTAAATAATGCAATTGTGCTTCTTTTGTTCGGACACAACGAAAATGTGGTATTAATTCTTATTCCCCGTTGGGATAATGACACCTAAGAGAAGAGGAGTTTATCTCGAACCTGGTCCGAGAAGGGGCAGGAGGAGGGTCGACGAAGGCTCAATGATTCCAAACCCCAAGGTGGAGTAGCACCCACCTATGGAGGAGGCTAGAGAGTTGACCTCAGATGAGGATTGGGCGCCACCACAAGTGCCAGCACCTAAGAGAGGCCGGAGAACGGCCATGTCCTCCCATCGAAATTGTAGACAACCAAGGTAGCTCGCCGGACTTGAGTAGTGTGAATAGTGTCACCGAAACCTCCACTTCCCTCTCTGCTCCATACCATACCATCGAGACTATACTCTGATACCGAGCTCATTGAGCTAGGCTGAGCTGGACAAGGTAGTGCGATTCGCACCCCAACCTAGTGATGCTAGCTAAGGGGTCTCCTGAACAGGACCTCTAAGACGTAAAAATCCATCTCTGAGCGGGGGAACATGGGACCACGTAGGATAATCTATTAGATGACCGGCACACAGGGGATCGCAACCCCCAAATTTTAGTGGTAGTATGGTCCCGTGGAAGGGTTGTCAGCTAACCTCCACGAATGATGTTTAAAGAGCAATATCGATTCAAATGCAGTCATATTGTCCCCTCAGTTATAATTTTGAGGTTGCATCTCATCTCAGGATATAAGAGGGCAAGCTATCTAAATTGTAGAAAAGAACGAGTTGGAACCTAGTCCGCACTCCCTCGAAACTAGAGAAAAGATCGTGGATACTTACTAAGATAAAAATGCGAAAAAAATCCACAAATAAGTTGCTTATTGAGTATTCATATACTCTCTTTTTTAGGTAAATGATGTCACTGATCGGTGGGAGAGCATTCATGAATCTTGAAGCCACATAGGAGTGTCCTAAACTAACATGAAACTAGCCGTGGTAAAGGGAAAGAAAAACCATGAGGGAGCAACTGAGAGAGCCATGCAGTCTGAGCCCAAGTATTGGGTTGTGTCGGTCTGCAAGGTAACTGAAGAGATGGAAACCGTAGGCCCAGAAATGGGCAGCTTGGTGGTGGTAGGCTCATTAAGACATCATTGACATGACATGGGCCTTCATAGTTAACAATACATCCTGACCCATTACATCTTTTCAGCAAGGACTGGCAGTGACAAGCGAGGAGTATGTGACGTCTATAATAAAAGTCATCAAAAGCGTTGGTGAAATGGTAATAATGTCTAAGATTTCATGCAACTCTGCAGTTTGCAGTGAAAAAGAGAAGGCCAATCCCATCACTTCCCAACCTTTCTTAACTTCACCCCGTTACCAGAAGAGACCTATTTCTGGGACCTTCAGAACAAAAGCAAATCATTTTGTTTGACAGACATGAATTCAGCTTTAGGATGGCATCAGTTGAAGAGAAAAACAAAACATTTTATATAAGTGTGGAAACTTCTTTTTAGCAGGTGTGTTTTAAAAACTTTGAGGGGAAGCCGAAAGGAAAGTCTAAAGAAGACAATATCTGCTAGTGGTAGGCTTGGACCGTTACAAATGATATCAGAGTTAGATATTTGGCGGTGTGCTAACGAGGACGATGGCCTCCAATGGAAGTGAATTGTGAGATCCCACATCAATTGGAGAAGAAAACAAATGTCAGCAAGGATGTTGTAGGCCCCGAAAGGGGTGGATTGTGAGATCCCACATCGGTTGTGGAGAAGAACGAAACACCCTTTATAAGGGTGTGAAACCTCTCCCTAGCAGACGCGTTTTAAAAGCTTTGAGGGGAAGTTCAAAGAAGACAATATCTACTAGCGGTGGGTTTGGGCCATTACAAATGGTATCAAAGCTAGACATCGTGCGGTAAGCCAGCGAGAATGCAGATTGGAGAAGGGAACGAGTGCCAGCGAGGACAGCTGGGCCACGAAGGGGAGTGAATTGTGAGATCCCACATCGGTTGAGGAGGAAAACAAAATACCCTTTATAAAGGTGTGGAAAGGGGGGTGGATTGTGAGATCCCAGATCAGTTGAGGAGGAGAACGAAACACCTTTTATAAGAGGTGTGGAAACCTCCAGCGAGGACGGCCACGAAGGGGAGTGAATTGTGAGATCCCATATCGGCTGAGGAGGAAAACGAAACAAAGGGTGTGGAAAGGGGAGTGGATTGTGAGATCTCACATTGGTTGAGGAGAAGAACGAAACACCCTTTATAAGGGTGTGGAAACCTCTCACTAGCAGACGTGTTTTAAAAACCTTGAAGGGAAGTCCGAAAGAAAAAGTCTAAAGAAACAATATCTGCTAGCGGTAGACTAAGACGGTTACAACAGTAGCGTCATAAAAATACACGAGTTTTAACAGCCAAAAGTGCTAAAATGAAGAGATTAAAGCATAGAGTGAATTGGGTTAAAAAAGAAACAAAAAAAAAATAAGAAGAAAGTGAGTTACTTTAGGTGTTAGGGGCTATGAGGGTGACAAGATGGGGAAAATGTATGCTTAATTTGGTAGCCCCCCATGAAGCAAAGCTCGGTGGCAATGCAGACTCGGGCAGAGAAAAAGGAAAGGAATAATTGGATTTTGAAGAAGTGAAGGTAGCTGAGATCTTGCCAGCTTGTTCATTCCACACTTTTGACCATGTTTCAGGCTTTGTCTATCATCTCACTTCTTCACAACCAAAATAAATTAAAATAAAAATTGCATCTTTATATAAAGATGATAAAGAGATCTCCCCATTTTTCTTCTTTCTTTGTCTTTGGAACTTACAGCTCCTGCAACAAGAACATGGCTGGGGCTGGGGCTGGGGCTGGGGCTGGGGCTGGCCTGCCCTCAGCAGCCCCCTTAATGAGACATTAATGAACACTAATCCTATTGTAATGTATGTAGTGGTGGAGCAGTGTGGCCTATGTTTAAGACATGATTACAAAGCTTTAATATGAATGGCGGGGTTTGATATTGTGTTGATTATTGTAAAAAGTCTAAACTTTGGATGTTTGAATACAAATTGTGTGTACACAACAAACATCTAGAGTTATATAAATGGTGAAATGTCTTTTTCTTGGGACATTGTTGAACAGTGAAATGAAAGTGGGAATGATTGGCTGACATAGCTCCATTCCGTCTTGCTCTCATCCTCTACGAATTAACGGGGTTTTAGGTCACAATTTACACTTTAACGAGAGTGATCTTGAGTAAATGATAACTAAGAAAGACTAAAAAAAAATGAAAGTAGTAAGATGCACAACTCAATCTGATGAACTTCGTGGTTAAGCGTGCTTTACTTATAACAATTCTATGTTGGATGATCTCTTATGAATTTTTTTGGGATGCATGTGAGTGGAAAATAAAGCATGTTGGAAAGACTCGTATTGGTGCGTGAGAATAGTTTTCAATCTTAAGAAGTGAGGAATAGATAACGTGACCATGTCACAAGAGAATGTCGATCTCCGAGAGAAATGGCATAGGATTCCCAAAGCTTGTGTGTGTAGAGAAAATGTAAGAATGATCTTAAAAAGGTGGCGCCAATATCCAAGACTTGGGGTGCCCACGTTGTTGGAATCCCCAAGCAACACAACCCCTACATACACATAAAGCTAAATAGGGATGAAATTATGTTTCCATGACTCTCTCATCTCTCATCCACACGTGGGACCTTTCTTTTTTCCCTTTTTTACTATCATGGGATCCGCCTAGGTATATTTTGTCCCATACCCATCAATAAAAATCCCTCCTTTCTTCATTTCCCTACAAATTAAACACAAAAACTTTACCTTGTTCTTCTTATTCGAATTTAAAATTCACATTCGGCTCCTAATCCACTGATAGCAAAAATTGTCCGCTTTAGCTCGTTACGTATCGCCGTCAGTCTCACGGTTTTAAAACGAGTCTATTGGGGAGAGACTTCTACCCTTATAAGGAATGTTTTGTTCCCCTCTCCAACCAACGTGTGATCTCACAATACACCCTCCTTGAGGCCAGCGTCTTCGTTGGCACACTGTCTAGTGTCTGGCTCTGATACCATTTGTAACAGCCCAAAAGCCCACCACTACCAGATATTGTCCATTTTGGCCCGTTACGTATCACCATCAGCCTCACGGTTTTAAAACGCCTAAAGAGAGGTTTCCACACCCTTATAAGGAATGTTTCGTTCTCCTCTCCAACCAATGTGGAATCTCACAGTACCCTTCATTTCTAAAAGTGAATACAATCTCCATATACCAACACAAGTTCTTTCAATATGCTCTGTCCTCACTCACATGCATTTTAAGACAATTCTTAAGAGATCACTCAACATAGAATTGTTGAAAGCTACCATGGAGTTCTTATCATTGAGCTAAAGTTTTTCTTAGCTACCATGAGTCCCTCTCATTCGAACGTGATCCCGATTCATTCGTGTACGCCCCATTTACTCGGGTGTCACAAAAAATACCCGTTTTTTTATTGATGCACGTCCAAGAGAGATTAGAATTCAAAACATGGAGAAAGAAAGATTAGTTTTTTATTTAAAAAGGGAGATGGGTTAAGGATAATATAAATAAGCAAATAGAAAGGAAATGTAGAAAGTTGTTTTGTACTCTTCCCTTTGCTTTTGTTTTTATGTTTTTTCTTTCTTTCTTTCTTCTTTACTTGTAGGGTAAGAGGCTCTCCTTCTTTTCAGCCTGCTTTTGAGACCTTAACACCAAGTTTTGAACTCAAGTTAGCAGCCCACAAACACACAATCATTAGAGGAGCGCCATACCAAAAAATAAAACAAGAAAAAAAAACTTGAACAATGTTTATAGAAATTGTTAAGACTCACGGATCTGATATTGTCCACTTTGAACATAAACTCTCATGACTTTGGGCTTCTCAAAATATCTCGAAAAGATATATTGTTTATTTATAAATTCAGGATCATTTCCTAAATTAACGAACGTGAGACTCCTCCCAATAAAAGGACCAAAATTTAACTGATAAAGTAGTGGTAGAGATGGACCATTTTGGTTGGCTTTTCGGAAAGAAACATCAAGACCAGACACTCTTACAGGAAAACATCGTTTGACTGTCGATGTCTCTTTCACCTTGTGAGGTCGGCTGCCTCTTGAATCCGCCATTAACTTGTAAAACCATGTTTGTTCTAAAATCTACGCTGATTAAGGGAAATGCACGTTTTTCTTTAATGATTCTAGACAATTCCCCCACCTTTTTTTCTTTCATTTTGACTTTGATATGCATTAAACATGCTTTTGTTTTTGCTTTCTCTTTGATTTCTTCCCTAACATTGATCGAGATAAGAGTATTCTCGAGTTTGAGTAGATAAATAACTGTAACGGTCTTAGGCCACCGCTAGTAGATATTGTTCGCTTTGACCTAGTATGTATTGTTGTCAGCCTTATGGTTTTAAAGTGTGTTTGTTAGGGGGAGGTTTCCACACTTTTATAAGAAATATTTCGTTCCCCTCTCCAACTTATATGAGATCTCACAAGGGGCTAGCGTCCTCCTTGGCACACTACCCGGGGAGAGGTTTCCACGCATTTATAAGAAATGTTTCGTTCCGCTCTCCAACCGATGTGGAATATCACAATCCACCCTTGGGGTCCAGCGTCTTCCTTGCCACATTGCCCAATATCTGACTCTGATACCATTTATATCAGTCTGAGGCCACCATTAGTAGATATTGTTTGTTTTGATTCATTACGTATCGTCGTCAACCTCGTGATCTTAAAAGACGTCTATTGAGGAGAGGTTTCCACTCCTTTACAAGAAATGTTTCGTTCTTCTCTTCAACTAACCTGAGATCTCTTTATTTGAGAAAACATCAGTCGGGATGCGAATATAATCTAAAATTGAGATGAATTCACCATTGATATAAGTTTTGAAAGAGATTAGAAACCAAAAGCTTTGGGATTGATATTAAAAACCAAACCCCTTTGCAAAAGGAAAGCATAAACCACATTGTTACCCAAAAGTAACAAAAAGGAACCAATTTTGTCAAAAGATTCAACCAATACATCTCAAATTTTGTTTGTTATATATATAATTTATAAAGATAATGATATGATTAAAGACAAAGTAAACCCAACCCTAATCTCATGATATTAGATTTTGTCATATATTTGGTTTGATTAGCATTTGAAGAAAGATTTAATATCCATTTCATGCAGCTTTAAACAAAAGTCAATACACATTTCATAAGACAAATCACCAATTCAATAGCTATGAGTATACAACCAAAGATATTAGGACCCAACTTTGGTGATATATTGCCAAAACCCTTCTTCTTCTTCAACTTTTGTGTTGTTTTGTTTTGATGTGTGAAGTGATTAGGGTTTGGTAAGAGGAATTTGGAATAGACCCATTTGAGTATTTTAAGTTTCTAATCATTCCTAATACCCATTCTTTTTTGTTTAAAATTGGACCCAAAAAGAAGAAGAAGATGATGATTATGGTTATGGGAAGGTAAGATGATCATAAGCCCCACACCTATCTTATCACTTACTTCAATCTCTTTCGGAACTTGGGCCTCCTCCACTTAATCCCAAATTAATCGTGATATAATCCTACGTCGATGAGAGAAGAGATAAGCTTGGGGTATTACAAATAGTATTAGAGCCAGATATTAGACGATGTACGATGTTGACCTCAAGGGAGTGGATTGTGAGATCCCACGTCGGTTGGAAAGTTGTGGGCTTTAGCTGTTATAAATGGATCAGAGCCAGACATCGGGTGGTGTGCCAACAAGAACACTGGGCTCCACATCGATTGGAGAAACAGTAAGCTTGGGTTGTTATACCGTGAGATCTTATCTCGATTGAAGAGGGAAACGAAACATTCCTTATAAGAGTGTGAAAACTTCTCCCTAGCAGACACATTTTAAAACCATGAGACTGACGACGATACGTAATTGGCCGAAACAGACAATATCAGAGGTGGGATTGGACTGTTACAAATGGTATAAGAGTCAATCACTGAACAGTGCGAGGCACTGATCAGAGTAGGGATAGACCCTCTCCATAGTAGACGCGTTTTAAAACCGTGAGGCTGAGAGTGATACATAACGGACCAAAGCAGACAATATTTACTAGTGGTGAGGTTTGACGGTTACAAATGGTATCAGAGTCGGTCACCGAATGGTACGAGATACTGATCGAAGTAGGGATAGACCCTCTCCACAGTAGACGCATTTTAAAACCGTAAGACTGAGAACGATATATAACGAGCCAAAACAGAGAATAAGGAGTAGAGAAAAGTAGAAGATGTAATAAAGATGAGAAAAAGGAGATAGTAATTGAGAAATGTTTAAAGGGAAAGTAGGAAGAAAAAGGTGGTATGGTATGTACATGTGTGGAAGGGGATTTAATCAGTAAAAGATTATTTAATTAGTAAAAGATTAGATGTGCAAATTAAGGTATAAATTGAATATTAAGGTATCTAACAATTTATTAAAGTTTTTGTCAATAATATGAGTAACGCGCTTCCAAATTTAATTATTATTTTAAACCAATGCAAATACTATAAATTAATTAATTAATTAATTAAAGTTTTCTTAGACTAGGGCCTGCCTTTAATAATGGAAACGTTGTTTTCACTTTAAATTAAATTATATAATTTTTCTAAATATTTAAAACAAATTGGGAATTCAATTAATATTATAGTTAGATAAGGGTTGAATTTGAGTTTTAAAATTTTCAATCTAATCAATACTCGTCATCAAATAATAAATCTAATTTAATCCATTCATAAAAGAATTAAATTGGTTACATCAAATTATTCGAGTCATTTATTTAAATTTTTATAATAAAAATAAATTATTATTATATAAAACATCTATTTATATGTTTATTAAATTAAATTTGCATCTCAATTACAATATACTATTTAAAAAATTATATTATAAAAACATATAAATAATTAAAAAATAAAATAAATATATTTTTTTAATTTAGGAACCAATTTAATTCATAAAATTTTAATTTATAAAATATTAGAAATCACGCGACTTTTCCCTCCTAAATCTATGATTTTTTTTTCGATTAACGAACGTGCTACTCCTTTCAATAATTTTTTAAAATACAATTAATTCAAATAAATTCATAAATCGAGATTTTTTATGTGAGATTTTTTGAAGAGTTATAAAGTATTTGGCATTTGATGGGTGTTGGTGGGACAAATATCAGCGACCCCTCCACAATTACTCTTAATTCATATCTACCTTTATAATTCTCCATCAGTCCTTTTCTTCTTCTTCCTTTTTTTTTTCTTTTTTTCCTTTCCATTAAATATAACTTTTCTTTTTCTTTTTTTAGCTTTCGATATTCCTTTATATATATATATATATATATATATATATATATATATATATATATATATATATATATCAAGCAAAAAATAAAAAATAAAAAATAAAAAATAAAAAAAATTATTGTGGAGATTCCCCCATTAAAAGCATAAATTTGTGTATGTTACTCAAATGCCATATTTCTGTCTTGTCAATATGTCTTCTTTCAACTTCCATTCTCCCTTTTCCTTATTTCTTCAATTTTTAAATTTTTTTTTTCGATTTAATCAAAATTTGATCTTACAATTTACTCCGATTTACTCCGATGTCACCGTATAAATTATAAAAACTAAATGATAACAGAATTAGTTTATAATTTAACGGATCATACATTTTTTATTGTTTTAATTTTTCATATATGAAGATATATAATTTACAATTTTTTTTTTTTGTTATGAATTGTATGTGATTTTAAAATGATAAAAAATTTAAAAGCATGTTTAAACTTTGGTAAAAGAAATTTAAAGCTAAAACTAGAAAGTAATTATATTTTAGAGGTCAAAATTATTATAATTTTTTTCTTTTTTGTTGAAAAAATAAAAAAGATTGAAGGAAATGCAATCACTCTTTTTAGGCGGGATGCCTCGCTGTCACGAGGGTTTGGGTAAAGGATAGGGTTATGTGGGGTCCACCACATTAAAAATTTCAAACTATACAGTTTTCCTCCACGTGGCAGTTCTTCATCTTGTCCACCTAGGATGATGAAGACAAAAGTGCTTGGATATATTATTTTCATCATAAAATTATAAGTTTTTTTTTTAAACCCAAAAATTAATAGTAATTTAAAAAGTGGATTATATAAATATTAAATTAAAAAAAATCGGGGTTCCTCTGAATATCTCCTAGCAGAGCTCCTCGTATAGTCTATTTATTATATTTTTCAACTACGTGTTAGAATTGGTCGGCTGTGTGAGACCCGATCGAGTTCGATTCCTAAACATCAACAAATATATAGAAATAATGGAGTTAGGTTTCTATCACATCCCTTGAAAGCAATTCAAATGGGTGGGGTTTTCTTCCATTGCCCAAATTTCTTAATTTACATATAAAATTATTAGATTTTTTAAACTAAAGATTAAAATAAGAAATGATTTTATTAGTTTTAATATTTATTTCTATAAATATATATTTGGAATTACTTTTACTCACATTTTGGGCACACATCTATTAATGTCACCCTCCATTCAAAATTTCAAAATTTCAAATATATTTCATTAATTATTTACACACAAAATAAATTTAAAGAGAAAAAATAAACAAATAAATGAGCACTCTCACTCTCACTCACACAAAAATCATGTGTCCACTACTTTACTACTTTGGAAAATATTAAATTTGTGAGAGCATTTATTTTAATTTTTATTATTTTTAATTAATTTGGTAAATATCTAATTCAATATACCCATTTTGAAATTTAATTACTAAATTTATTAATTGTAACTTTATCATGTTTTCTAAAGTGGATTTAAACTTTACCAAATTTCTTAATAATATGATGCTAATTCCTTTTTAATCTATTTTTGTTTGATTCAGTTATGCATGATGATGACGTGGATGCATACATACATACATGCATGCATGCATACATGATATTTAATTAAATAAATAAATAAAGGGTTTGTCAGTCCACCATCCTATCCCCACATGGAATTCAGCGTTCTTTTTCAAACTTCTCTTCATACCCGCGCACTCGCCAAGAGTCCGTTGTTTCAATTTATTATTATTATTTTTTTATAATTAATTTTCCATTTTTTTCTCTCTCTACGTGAATTTAAAATCCTGTTCTTGTTTTTCTAGAGAGAGAGAGAGAGAGAGAGAGAGACAAACAGAACAGAATACCTCGTTCTGTCTCATTTCAATCTTCCATGCCTCTTGCCCTCACTCATCAAAAGGGGTATTTCTTCTTCTTCTTCTTCTTCTTCTTCTTGATTTCAAGCTTGCAGAAACCGATTTCTTTCTTCCACTCATAGATCTCTACGTTCCTCTTCTTAATCACTGTTTCTTGGATTACGAGGAACAAGATTACAATCACAATCACGGTGGCTGTGTTTGTGTTTGTTTTGATTCAGGCTTCTCATTTTGTAGTTCTGATTGGATTGGATTCGTGATTGATCGTTGCTTTGTCCTCGTGATCCATGGCGGTTCTGTTTGTTTGGATTCAGACACTAGCTGTATAGTGAAGAAATTAAAAGTGTTTAGGGAAAAAAAAGGTCAGAATCCGAGGCGATTTCGAGGATCGCTTTCTACTAGAGATTGCTGTTCCGTTTCGGAACCCAACAGTGACCTGTATCCGTAAAGATTAAAGGAAAGGGGACTTTGCAGTTTCTTATCCCTTTCTTTTCTATATGCCTTAGAAAGGCTTGCTTGCCTTTAGCATGCTACTTGGATAAAAGGGGAGGAGCGCCTAAGAGATACTGTTTATTGTAATTAATAAAAGCAAATGCAGGACACAAAGAAGAAGCTCACCACTGAAGATTCCAAGAAGAAGGAACGACACATCGTTTCCTGGACTCAACAGGTTTCCATTTCTTACTTTTTGATTCTTGTAGAGATCCTTTTGGCTGTGGTTTCTGATTTGGGTTCTTGGAGTTTCAGGAGGATGATATTCTCCGAGAGCAGATTAATCAACATGGAACAGAGAAGTATGAACTCTCTCTCTCTCTCATTGATTCTGTGTTTATCTTCTTCTTCTTCTTCTTCTTCCTTGTTAATCTGATTGATTGTTGATGTAATCGACTGTGCAGTTGGGCAATCATTGCGTCAAAATTCAAGGATAAAACAACAAGACAGTGCAGAAGAAGGTAATTCAAATGATGAAAATCATGGTAACATACCTGATTCAAACAGTTGTTGTTTACTTCTGGGTTCATCGAGTTTCACTGATATGAATGGCGTATGGGAATTTGCGTTTCAGATGGTACACATACTTGAATTCTGATTTTAAGAAAGGGGGTTGGTCTCCGGAAGAGGATTTGCTTCTATGCGAGGTGATTCTTCCCCCAACTTGTAAGAACAGAGAATCCATAATAGGGATATAAACATTGTCTGAAATCACTGTCATATTAAGCTCAAACTCTACTCTAAACCTTTTGAGTATTCCCTGTCATTGGATGCCCTGAATCTAATAAATTAGCCTGGTCTACAGGCGCAGAAGATATTTGGGAATAGATGGACAGAGATAGCAAAGGTGGTGTCAGGCAGGTATAGAACTTTCACTTTCCAGTTCTCTTGTTGCAGTTATATTTTACCGCAACGTTGACCGAACATTTATATGTCGATTTCACTGATGCAGAACGGACAATGCAGTGAAGAATCGGTTTACAACACTGTGTAAAAAGAGAGCCAAATATGAAGCATTAGCTAAAGAGAACTCAAGTTCCTTCATCAATCACAACAACAAAAGGGTCCTAGTTCAGAAGGGGAGTGATAATGTTTCATCAGAAACTCCTCAGCTGGTTAAGAGGATAAGGTAGAATTTGTATACAAGATGTCTAAATAGAAATAAGAAGGAAAAACTGCTTCACAGCAAAGAATTAATCATTCTGCAATTGACTGTTTAGGAGAGCACACATATCTGATACAACAGAAGGTTGCTCACTCGAGGATGGATCAAAAAACCGACCGAGAGCTCCATTTGCGGTACTGGTTGATAATGTCCACGGTGTCGATAGTTTGCCAGCTCAACTTCCCATGAACAATGCCCAGGAGGGTCTAAATACTAGTAAGTCACTACAAACAACCTTCACATCATACAGACAAGGAATAGCATTTCTACTAATCATTCCTTCGCATTCTTTGTTTGTGCATCCTTTGGTTTCACTTCTGGGCTCATGATATTGGGTTTAACCGCTTCATATCTCTACCATAAGCAGCTCAAGGTAACAAGAGTCAAGGAAGCTTTATCAAGAAGGATGATCCAAAGGTAGCTGCTTTAACACAACAAGCAGAACTACTCAGTTCACTCGCATTGACGGTTAACTCGGAGAATACAGACCAGAGTCTTGAAAATGCTTGGAAGGTGAGCAATATTATGGCTACTTTGTCTATCAACAACTTTGAAATACTGGGCTGCCATGTTGGTAATGACATGAAAAGGGATATCCTGAATTATGTATATCTGCTAAACTACATCTGATATTTTCATTCATATAGTAGTTTTTCTTATTCCTTGAGTCCACTAAATATGAATCAGATTCTCCAAGATTTCCTCCGTCGAAGCAAAGAAAATGACATACCCAAATATGCAACTCCGGATATTGACTTTCAAGTGGAAGATATTAAAGGTTTAGTGGAGGATTTAAGGAGTAGCAATGATGGTAGCCAATGGAGGTAACAAAAACATGCATACTATAATTTTCAGATTGAAGCTACTTTTATTTGTGGCCTTATCAACTTCACTGCTCGCAGACAACCCAATCTCCACGAGTCTCCTGGCAGTTCAGAATACAGTACTGGATCAACAATAGTATCCCAAGCAGTTGAGGATAAAATAGATCAAAGCCAACCTGAGATAGGGACTCATCATCAAGAGGCTCCAAATAATATTGGTGAATCTGAGAAAGAAATACTTCTGAAGACAACGCTAGAGCGAGGTAATGAATAAGTTCTTACATTGGTTATAGATACCATTAATTTTTCCCATGATGTGCTGCTAAGAAGATACAATGTTTTACTGCTGCAGAGGCTTTCAAATGTTGCAATGAACGAAAAAAGGATTCCATTACCTCTTCCTTTTCAAGCTCAGAATTCAGTTCCCCCATGCATGTAATTCCAATTTTTAGATCCTTGGCAGCTGGAATACCTAGCCCACAGTTCTCTGAGAGTGTAAGTGACCTTTACATTTTGTTTTTACTGTGCTGATAAAATAAAACCAGTCAAGTGATTGTTTCTGGATTATAGAAAAGGCAGCTGCAGTAATAAACAGTGGTCGTATAACCTATCATAGAAGTACTGCAGTTCTTTAAAAGTTCAAATTCATAAATAGACAGGTTTCAATTAGTATTCAATTAGGTTTTGCGAACACGAATTACATGGGTCAAATCAAGCTACCATGTAGACATAGACAGATAACTCTCTGGCTTTCTCTTTGCATCTGGAATTATATGCATTTTATGGCGCTACCTCTCATTTGTTTTGTGCTGTTTTATTCTCTTTTTCAGGAAAGGAGTTTTCTTCTTAAAACACTGGGAGTGGAGTCACCTTCCCTTAACCCTAGTGTTAATCATTCACAACCACCACCCTGCAAAAGAGCCCTTCTCCAAAGTCTATAAAACCTCTCTAATTAGTCTTTTCTTTTTTCCTTTGAATTAAGTTCCATTGGTTTGCAGCCATTCCGGCCTAGAATTTTTCATAGTGGCATGTTGATATCTGCATTCCATGACTCGTGTCTAGAATACTATGGAGGATTCAGACACATCGGAACACATATAACCGCGTGTTCCACATTCTTTTTTTCTTTTCTCTCCCTAGGTGGGGTTTCTCTAATAGTAACATCCAAACCAGTGTGCTTGGTGTGTCATTTTTTTCTTCTTTCCAGTTCTTTGCAATGTGATTTTGGTGTCCCAGTTTTTGTAGCTTGATTTCCCACATGTACATAACCTCTAGATACATTTGTAGACATTCAGAGAGTAAGCATGCTCTGGCCGCAAGCTTACTACCCTCCAAACAAAAAGTGATCGAGGGAAGCAGAAAGCAAAAAGAAGACAAAAAAAAAAAAAAAAAAAAA